CTGGGGCTACAGACTGATGAGGCTGAAGCACCAGCTGCTGGGGGCGGAGAAATTGCTAGCCAGGTCATTCATTTATCACTCAGCGCTGGTGGAGGTCGAGACTTTGTCGGCTCGACGAGCGGTTTGTTCCTCGCCAATCTGCTACAGTCTCATAGCCAGTCTTCCGAGGCACCTAGTCATACCGTCGGCCAATACCCAAGCTCAACATCCCGCCATCATGGACGTACGGGAAGCCTTGTGCCCACCAGTGGAGCTACCAGTCTGCCACCAAGGAGCATGACGGTAGAGATACTAGATGCATACTCCAGTCACGACCGGCTTTGCTATCCGTTTCTCTCACCGAAAGCACTGGACCGGGCCCTAGACGTTGTCTACGACGTAGGAAACCCAGAGAAGGGGAATCCGATCGATAGCTTTCTTGTCGACATGACTCTTGCCATCGGGACCGCACAAGTCTACAAGTTGAACTGGAACGGGTTCTGGGATTCCGAGGTTCACTATACACGCGCCATGACGCGATTGGGCGATGTTCTCTCTCGCGGAGGTATCACTGCTCTTCAGGCCTTGCTTCTGATCTGTCAATACAGGATGGGAACAACCTCCCACGACACGAGCACCAGCGTCTGGCACCTGATTGGGGTTGCGGCGAGGACATGCTTCGAGCTGGGGTTGCACAAGGGGTCGACGTATACCGTCTCTTCATCACGACCCGGTGACGAGGCGGATGTGGAGGGAAGACATGAAGACGTTGAAATCAAGAGACGGTGTTTCTGGAGTGTGGTATCGATGGATCGGATTGCCAGTCTCATCCTGGGACGGCCGCTGGCTATCCAGCTTGAGGATATCGACGTCGACCTTCCGCCTTTCGATGTGCCTGGAAGCCCCGTCCCACTTTCCAATTCACTATCGACGGCCTCTTTCAGGACCCCAGAGTGGCATCTTGGAACCGCAATCTTCGTTCACATTGTCAGGTACCGAATGATTTGCGGCAAGATTCTCAACGTCCTCCATCGCAGCGCGAACATAGCACGAGACCCAGTCACCTACGAAGATAGTCGAAACACCCTCGCCGAAGAGCTCCAGTCATGGCGCGAGGGGACAAATAGCTTACCACTAATTCCCCCAGAGGCGCCGCTCACCTCGCCCGCCAGCAGGTCCAGTTTCCGCTCGGCAGAATGGTACAATCTCCTGTACCACAACGGAATCTTGATGCTGTTCCGCCCATCTCCCACCCTATGCGATGCCACTGGAAATAGCATCGTGCTACAGCACATGTTTGACTCTTCGCAAGAGGCCATCAAGCTGTACGCTAACCTGCACCGCTCCAGAAAGATCAACTATTCTTGGGTGACACTTCACTCCATCTTCATCGCAGGACTCTCCTACATCTATGCACTGAGAAATCATCTCCAGCATATGCAAAGCCGGAACCCCGCGAATGCCAACACGCCCAGAGCCACGCTGCGAACAACTCCCACAATCAGCCAGGTGGTCAACGATACCCGAGCCTGCTCAAAGGTGCTGGTGGCTGTGTCGGAGAGATGGGCCATGGCGCGCAACTGCTCCGAAGTATTCGACCGCCTCAGTGACGCCGTTGTCGCAGACATTGTCGAAGCCCAAACTGGAAACGGTTCATCATCGAATGAGCCAGCTTATAACAACCAGCCCACAGGCGAGACTGAGCACCTATCTCAAGCTATGGAGATGGGCCTGAATGATGCCATGTATGGTCAAGGCCCTGGCCAGAACTTTGTTAACATGACAGTCGACGAGACTCTACGAGACTGTTTTGGGGACCTGCAGAATATCTGCTATGACCAGTATCACAGCGATGCTATTGCTCAACTTTCCCAAGATTGGCTGTTTGGAATGGGAGAAACTCCGAGTCGCTACTTCTAGCGTCACAAGATATTGAAAGCAAATACGTTCTTCTATTATTCGTACAAGCTAGCATTATACCTCAAATCCTACCCCGCTGTAAGAATCTTCGCGGCACCTCGACGTATCGACTCCGTAGGTACTCCGCGATCCCCTTGCCCAAGCCATCTATTCTATCCGAGGATGCAATTCCTCCATTCAAGTTGTCCAGGATTCGGCTAATACATTCATTAGTCAATGTTCATACTGAAAGAAGCAGCTCGACTCACAAATGTACGGCATTGATGCCGGGGAACTCAACCCGTTCGACCCTCCGGTTTGGATTATTCTTGTACCAGTCATCACCCAACAACTGCTTGAGCCGACTCACGGTCAAGATAGTCCGCAGCCAGGGATACTCATCCTCATTGCGAACAAAGAAGCCCACGTTTGAGTTGTCGGCTTTGTCGCCAGACCGAGCGTGGACAATGCTGCCCAAAGGAGCAAGCTCTGTCGGGCCCAAGGAAATGATGTCGATTGGTTCTGCCGTGTCTGCGGATGGCCTCTCAATCTTATACGTCGCAGTGTTCTGAGGCGGAGCAACGGAGATCGGCCTGCCTGAGGCCAGCAGCACTTGATGATCGATAGCTGACTGTGGTACCAATGCCGGGAACATCTCCATGAACGGCTTCGGGTCCATCGTTCGGAAATCTAGCGACATGTGGTAGCCGGGGTAACTCTGCATTCTCACAGCATAGATCGGAATCTTGAAGTTGACGGCCGCAATATCCTCCTTCTTTCGCGCCTGCGCAAAGACACGAAGCTGCACGGTGCCCGCCTGCTGAGAGCTAGGGTTTCGGGCTTGTGTTCCGTACTGCTCGATGCTCAGCCTGCTGAAGTTGCTGTCCTTGAAGAGGTATCCTAGCTGGTTTTTCATCATCGTCACCTTCTCGTCCACGTCAAGTCCGTTGATGTAAAATGTCGCCTCGGCCTGGTACCCGCCTTCAGCAGCGAACATGACCTTTGTTGTCGGCGGTGGCGGATGCCCTTTGGCACCCCATACTCTGACACGATCTTCCCCGGCATCTTTCTGCTCTTCGACGCGGACACTTGACAAGTCGGCCACTACGTCCGGGTTGAGGTAGAGATGGCCCTGCAGCTCGTACAACAGCTGCGCCGTGACGGTGTGCCGCGTAACATGGCCGCCGCCCTCGGTAGTCTTACCGATAACGCACTCTCCGCCGCGAGAAATCTCCGCCACAGGGAACGCGAGATCGACCAGCTCCGGGAGGAAGTCTTTGAAGCCGGAGAAGTTGGCACCCACGACATACGGCCCGCATTCAATCAGGTGCGCCGCGAGTAGGGCGCCGGCCAGCTCCTGGTGCTGGTCTTCTCTCCAGCCGTAGTACCACGCCGCGGCGCCCATCACTGGCGAAGCGTCGGTGCATCGCCCGCAGACTACTATGCGCGCGCCTGCTTTGAGAGCCTCCACGATGCCCCAGCACCCGATGTACGCGTTGCCACAACAGGGCTCGAAACCCCAATCGTCGAGGGTGGTCTCTGGATGATCCAAGTGCGGGAACTTCAAACTCCCCCTCCTTGAAGGGTCCTGGAGTAATCCAGAGACATCATCCCCCAAAACCGCAGCAACTACACTTTCAGGATACCCCTTCCTCCTGCACAACTCTTTAACTTTGTCAAACAGCGCAACGGTATTGAGCGCCCCCGCGTTCGTCACGACGCGCACGTCCTTAGTCATGATGTCGTCGATGCATTCTTCGAGCTGCTCGTAGAAGCCGTTCTCGTAGCCGAGGTTCGGGTCGACGTCGCGCTTGGTGATTGCGTTCCAGGCGATGTTCATCTCGGAGAGCCAGTCGCCCGTGATGACTTGGACGTTGCCGGAGCGCAGCATGCGCGCCATGGCATGAGGATGGTCGCCTGTTGCGCCGGAGACGTTCCCGATTCTGATGGGGGGTTTATCGATCATGTTGAAATTGCCGCTGTTGAAGGAAGGGGGAAGAGTAGAGACAGGAGATAAGAGGAGCAAGGCGAGGAGCAGAGGCGGAATAAATCAAGGAAGGGGAATCAGACCTCAACGCGGTCCGCGGTATTATCATACAAGATTTCCCAAGCTGTCTGGCTCACATGTGCCGACGGATATCTTCAGAATAATAGACATAACCATGATCCATCTTCTGGATCCAAAGACATCAGTAACCGCCGATTGCGGACTCAGTGCCTGCGGACCTAGCACCGAGCCAAGACCTCAAACGGATCTCATCTGTCTGCATCATCCTACCGATCCATCAAGATTGCGACGGATCCAATCAAAATGGCATGATACCAACAACTCAGCAAGAAAGCTTTGATCCTCACTTGAGTCCAGTAGCTGATCACGTTGATACGCCCACGAGGGGCGGCACCACAGACCGAAGCATCGGCGCGGCCACCGAGGCCGAAAACTCCCCATAACTCTTCTCTTCCAGCCTCTCAATACTTTACGGAGAACCAACACGGCACTGGGAGCGTCTCAATAGGGGATAATTTGATTGGCTCAGTGTCCAGAGGGACGAGTAAGAAGAGCCATATCCGGCCCACCTAGATTATCCCCAATACTACGCTTCAGCGGAGAACTGAAAAGAAATGCCAAGGCGGAAATCTGAAGTTGGAGAGAGACGGTGGCTGGGCAACTAGAAACCATAATCCTTCGTGGCGTGCGCGGAGACATGGCCGCTCTCCATACTCCTCCAGGTGTCTCGTCGGCATTCGGCGCCGCTGGCCGAACTACGCTTTTGCCGCTTTACGCTTCCGCGGGCTGTAGTGCTGCACCCTTGCGGAACGGCATCACTCTGGGTCCAAAGCTATGGATTACCACCCTGCCACCACGTTACGGCGCCCCCACCAGATATCGCGGAGCCAAGGATGCCAAATCCGGGGTTGTTGCGGGGAAGAGGAACCGAGGGGGGATTGAGGTTTCGTTGCACCAGATTGCTGTACATATACCGTCTTCATTACCCTTGGCCAGGTTTCTGGATGTGACCCTGATCCATTGCTTCAACACTTCAACTTGCTTGCCATCGTCTGTTGTAACTCCTCTATTATTCTTGCTGAGGATTAGCAGCAACGATAAAACTATTGTGAAGATGGCGACGCAGACGGAAACTGTGGCCAAGGGCCTTCCGGCGCAATCGCCAACCGACATTGAGAAACAGCAGGTCCTTCACCAGGAGCATTCTCATGTGCTGGACGACGAGAAGAGGCCTGCTGTGGCGGTCGATTACTCTGGAGCTGCGGCCAAGACTGACCCTACGGAGATCAAGCTCGTGAGGAAGTTGGATCTCTGGGTGATGGTATGACCTTCGAGACTCAAGCTACTTGTCCGAATATGATCTAACTCTAAACTACGAAGCCAACTCTTTGGTTGATGTACTGGCTCAAGTAAGTCTTCCCTCCACCGAGCCCCCAAGTCGACTCCGAGGACCAACCGACTAACACCACCACCTAGCTACCTCGACCGCAACGCAATAGCCCTAGCCCGACTCAACGGCCTCGAAAAGCAACTTGGCCTCAGCAGCGTCGAATACTCCACCAGCGTCTCCATCCTCTTCGTCGGCTACATTCTTGGCCAGATCCCCAGCAACATGATCCTAACCCGCGTGCGGCCTTCCTGGTACATGGGCGGCTTCATGATGGCCTGGGCCGTGGTCTCCGCCCTCACGGCCGTGGTGAAGGATTACAAAGGGCTAGTGCTCACGCGCTTCTTTCTAGGTGTCGTCGAGGCGCCGTATTACCCCGGCGCTCTGTACATCCTGTCCATCTTCTATACCAGGAAGGAGCTCGCGACGAGGATTAGTGTGTTGTATTCCGGGAATATTCTGGCGACTGCGTTTGCGGGGCTGATTGCTGCGGGTGTGTTCCACGGGATGGAAGGGTTGCATGGGCTGGAGGGGTGGCGGTGGTTATTCATTTTGCAGGGCGCGGTGACGTTTGTGATTGCCATGATGGCTTGTTATACGCTTCCCGATGAGCCTCTTACGACGAGGTGGCTTACGCCTGAGGAACGACAGCTTGCGCATGATAGGATTGAGAGGGATACTGTAGGTGCGAAGATGCAGAGTAGTACTTGGGGTGGTCTGCGCGAGGCGATTGTCGATCCGAAGGTGTGGGTGTTTATCTGGATGCAGCATTGCCATCTTGCGACGAATGGGTTCAAGAACTTCTTTCCCAGTAAGTTTTCATCCCGAAGATTGTTCTTCTTGATCATCACCAGCTAACTTGTATGTAGCGATTGTGCAAACGCTAAATTTCAACACGACGATTACGTTGGTCCTGACGTGTCCGCCATACCTCATCGCTGGCATCCTATCCATCGTCTGGGCGTGGAGCTCTGGACGTTTCAACGAGCGGACGTGGCACATCACCATTTCTAAAGCCGTTGCTGCTTTCGGGTTCATCTTGGCTTGCGTGACGATGAACACTGGTGCTCGGTACTTCGCCATGACGGTGTTTACTATTGGCACGTATGGTGTAAACTCGATGTGAGTAAAACCGCCCAAACCAGGTTCGCTGAGACATGGTCGTGATTCTAGTAAAGCTGACATTGTTTGGGGTCAGCTTGCTCGGCTGGGTTGGAAGTACGTGCGGACAGACGAGAGAGAAGAAGGCCTCGGCGCTGGCGATTGTGAATACCAGCGCTAGTATTAGCTTTATCTGGACACCTGTAAGTCGGCTGCCCCTGTTTCCCCTTGAAATGTTCAGAGGAACTGTACTCTAACTACGTCGCCAGTACTTGTGGCCCACATCAGATGCCCCAAGATATGTGATCCCTATGGCCAGCAGTGCGGCGTTTTGTGTGGCCTGCGCCGCTGGTGCATGGTTGATGAAGTGGATGCTTGTGAGAGAGAACAGGAGGATTCGGGCAAGCAATTCTGAAGCCACGCTATTTTATGCCCATTAAAGGGAGATTTATAGGTTGATGATAGGACGAATTTGACTGCAACGATTCAAGTTTTGATCACTGGGAGTCTAGAAGAGTCGGTTGGCTTTCGTAGCTGCCCTCAGTGAGCTCAAGGGACAAGTTACCGATCGACGCAAAGTCGTTTCTTCGAGTGAACCTGACTAGAGTGGTTCGAACTCGCTCAAAGGATCCAGATCGAAACCTAGGAGCTCTCCTTCCAAATCATAGAAGTCCCCTTGATGCTCTGGGCTAGCCAGTTCGGGCCACATAGACTTGAATAAGTAGTTTTCAAAGGATAGGAAGTCCTGAGTGCCCACAACAGCCTCCGCCGAGCTGGAACTCGATCCGGCGGGAGGCTGGTTCACTCGGTCTAGGTCTTGCACGATAGGCTGAGAACCCCCCTCGGAGCCCCACGTCGATGGATCACCGAGGATGGTGTCTTCTACTGCACTCGAATGATCTTTATGAGTTCCTTGGTCACGTTGGGCTTCTGGGCCTGATTCAATCTGCGGGTCTTTGTCTTGCTGCCAAAGCTCTCTCAGTAGGACACTGTACCCATGGCAGATGTGCGGTTCAGTTGAGGCCACTTCGTCCAGGGTCAAGATAAAGGCTTGCGATAGGCCTCTCACTTGTTTCTGTTGAGCATGGCCCCGTATAGCCCCTGCATTGAGAGCCTTGTATAGAAACACTGCGGCATAGAGTCCGTAGCTTCCAGCTTCAGTCAGTCTCGAACCGCATTGGGCTGTCAGAACCTTCAAGAGAGAGAACTTACAGATGATAACGTGAAGGGAGGTAACACAAAACCCTTCGGGGATCCAACTCCGTTGTAAGACTAAGAAGTTCTCTTGCTGCCGTAATAGCACTTGCAATGTATCTTGCGTCAGGTGAGGCCATAAGACCATTGGGGAAAAGATCCAACCCCGATCTCTTGTTGCCGCGTAATTGCCGTCGGTCGTCTCGCCGAGGACCTTGATGTTGAGACTCACGCGTCACCACGGCATGAAAAGAGAATGCGTTAATATATAAACAGAGATATTCGTGCGAAATACGGAGCGTAGACTTCAGCTTCAGAGAAACTTGGAGACCTCCCCAATTGGTACTCCATGCCGTTGCTGCTTCCATCAGGTCATCCAAGTAGCGCGGATAATCGCCCTCGTTAATCATCGACTGCGTTCTCTTATTGGCCGAGTAGAGTATCGAGTGGGCGTTGTGAAGTATCTGCATCAAATCCAAGTGCGCATGCAGAACTGATGCGTAGTCGTCGGTACCACATCCAGCCACAGGCTTTAGACTCGGAAAGTCTTTGGCCGTGAACTTGGAAGAGAGAGCCGGCCCACGGGACCAGAAAGACTGCCCTAATCGAACTGAGATCTGCCTGTCTGCCAAGTAGGTGACTGCAATCGAGAGCATGATCAGCGCAAACTTCTTCTACCAATTGAAAGTCTTAAACTCACACGTCCAAATGAGACGATTCTGCTCCTGTTTATCGTCTACTGACTCTCCCGATGTAGGACTCCGAAATGCGGCACGGTCTAGTCTCAACGAGTAGCCCAAGCGTACGGCGAGACCGACAATTGACCAAGCTGTTTGTCCTTCACTGAAGTGGTCCTTATGGACCGCCAAAGCGGAACGTTTTGATTCGATATGAGGCAACCACTCAGATAAGAGTAGCAAACCCTCGACTGTTCGCGGGGTTTGAGTCCATGAATGAGCTAGGAGCACTTGAAGAAGTAGACTTTGCACGTAACTCCAACACTGGCTGTGAAGATGTGCGTCCCCTGGAGAGTCCCTTGATGCAATAGTCAACAAGACTGCTAGTAGAAAGTAGTCACGTTTCTGTAGCTGGCCTGGCTGTGTGAAGAAGTGAGTCGGAGTGACAGGGCAGTACAGATGATAGTTGCTTGCAAACCTATTTCGTTTAGTCTTAGATTATAGCCATGTCGGGGGGTTTGACTTACATATCCAGAAGCTGGGATGCCTTGTCAAGGCGAAGAACACCTCGTCGAATCAGCTCAAAGTTGTTTAGTCCCGATATCGTATCTGTCATGCACTTAGGGGCTGAGTTTTCTATCGAAAAGCCAGAGCCGTTGAATTCCTCCAGTCTTACAAGAGTCTCTCTGGGCTTGGCTGAGGGCATGGTATTTGTATGGTGAGATGTTGGACGATGTGTAATTAAATTCCTAGTAGATACCTTGTTCCTTGAACGAGCAAGAATCTGCAAAGCATCAGAGGGATTTCTGAGCTCCATTTCATTGTGATCATCGGGTCCCGTAACTTCATCTTCGTTGCAACTATCTTCGTTCGTTGAGGGGACGAAGACTGAAGACCGAGGAGATGCTGGCCCGGGTGATGGTTCGACTGAGGAAGGAGACGCTTGGGTATTGTGATCCCGCCTTGCTTTACGAGACTTGCGCGATGAGGACACAACGCATTCACTTCCAGAATAGTAACAGGAAACACAGGGAGGTTTCATAGGCTCTCCAACCCCTTCACTGAAATGTGTTGATTAGAGCAGAGTCGTTGGGCGAATCGCGGGCATACTCACAAGTTGCACTTGGTCTTTCGACTTCGGCATCTCGTACACGCGCGATACGACCTCTTCCCCGTGCCAAGAGTCATGATAAGTACAGTGCAGAAAAGACAGATGACATGATCTAAAGCTCCTCTGGTACTTTACTGAGACATAGTTCGACGTTGTTTGGGGGTGTTGTTGGCGACGGCCCGGATAGCGGGGCCGCCGCGTTCGTCGGCATTGGTCGGCAAGGGACGGCACCGGACGGCACAAAGTGGATATTGAGAATCAAGCAGACCAGTCGGCTGTTCCTTTCAGCCGCGAGTCGGAATGGGATGAAGCTGACTCTCGATCGCAACGTTTATTCTTCTCCAGCATCATTTCAACCATATAATTATGATACAAAAGTACAATGGAAATTAGACCAAAGCCACATTGACCGCCCTTGTTTGCACGCACTGACGCCATTTAGGTAGGTTGGCGTTTTCGTGTTCCAGAAGAGCTTTTCGCTACTGAGTGATAAAAGAATATTTCAAGATAACATTTCGTCAAACCAAAAAGCTAAACGAATAACATCAACTTTAATATGCGTATTCTCTTCCAAAAGGATTATAATAAGACCGGAAAAGCAATTGAGATGCACGATGTTGGTTTACTTAGCCGAGCTCTCTGATCACCGCGCCACTCTCATCCTCCATCCCCCTCTTGGCCCTCAAATCATACTTTAGGAGCCGCTGGACTTATGAAGTAAAGGGGTTATTGACGGAGTATGATCGAGACTTCCGAGGCGTGTTACTCCTGCTCATCAAGGAAAAGTTGTTCTCATGTAGCGTCCCTCTTGACGGCTTGTCCTCGTTCCATGAACGATGTCTGTGTTGACCGGTGGCTATCGAGGCCCTTCACTGAGCGTCGTTTCCACTTTCTAATTCTTAGTAGCTGCTCGATCAGGAAAATGATCGTGATTCTCGGATATGGTGATGGCGACGGCGACAACGTAGGCAGTGCGCATCTTGGACACTGTCGCCGATTAGACCGAGGGATGTCCATGAGGGGTGGGGAGAACCACTCCTTTCTTATTGCGCCATCCCGGTAATGTTCTAAGATATGTCTTTGACGGAGTCTCATATTTCTGTCGGTCGTGGCTTGCGCGTCATCGGGTACAGCGCGTGGGTATTTCCTCTTCTTGACACAGAACCCACAAAAGAAGTTGTCTTTTCCGCAGTCACTCCGTTTTAGGAGATCGTCTATCGGATCCCAGCCGTGGTTACTATAATAGTGTTGATAGAAGTCTCCGAACCTGGAGTACATTTGCAAACGCCTGCATCTTGGATCGCCAGGAATGATATTTGAGGGAACGCCAGGGCGACCGGGAGTAGGAGGCGAGTGCTCCTCGCATAGATAGTATATAAGGTTAGGATGGGGTTTATCACAACGCATTCAAGCAGCCTCGATGGCATACTCGCGTCTACAATGGACGCACCCAAGTTTGGTAGGCTGTCCAGTCTGCCTTGCCTCTCGTTCGGCCGAGATTATTTCTTCGTCTTGGTCCTCTCCTACTCGATCAGGCATAGGCGGAAACTGTATGTCCACTTGCTCAGGTCGGACTACTTGTTGCTCACATTGGACAGACATGATGCTGAAGTTCTATTACAACATTAGCATACGCAGCCACCAGTTTGAACTTGGCTGTGGGGAAAGCAGGGAAATTCAAGCTAACTTGATGTTTATATTTCCGTATTCTGACTCGTCCAAAAAAGCCGAACGTCTGAATAAAAATGTAGGGTCTGGTGAGTGATAGCCTTCGCAGATGATCGCAATTGGAAACTAGATGTCGAGAAAGCCAAACGTGCGTGCTCATGTATAAAAATACGGTCCTGCCACCATGGAGTGAAGGACTTGGATCTGAATTGACTGTTCGGCGAAAAGTATCAATTGCTCCAGTTTTTGTACAACATCATCATGAAAGGACCCTACTCTCCCCTTTAGATGTTTACTGGGTGTCGCCCAAGCGGTAAGCTCCTCGCTAAGAATACTGAAAGGGATAGAGATCACCACATTGATCGAACAACACATACAACCATTCAAGAGAGACAGAATGCGGTTGAATATCATTCTATTTGTCACTGTTAGATGCCACGAGATACATTCGTCTTGCGGTCTGGGAAATTGCCAAGCGAATGTTGAGTCCTACGATAGCTCGGGATACCCGAGTATGTTATGAAATAAGTGGCATAGATGCATAATGACCATTAGTGCCTAGGATACTTTTTCTTGTCATCTGTATTTTTAGGTCATTCAAACAAACATCGATTTAGCGCGATAGTCACAATATCAATTCCGGCAGACCAGGTGGCGCCCGAACTTACGAGACGCATTGGTTGGGTTTGAGGTGAGGCAACCACTTAGACAACAATAGCGGAGCCTCAACCGTTCGTGGGGTCCTAACCTAGGGATGAGACAGAAGCACTTGAAGGAACAGGCTGTGTACGTGGTTCCGGTAATGGCAGCGACTTGGGGTGTATTCTAGAGAGCCCCTCGATGCGACATTCGGCAAGTCTACCAGGAGGATGTAGTCGCGTTTCTGTAGCTGCTGCAAGCCTGGATGATTGAGAAAGAATTCAGGAGTTCCTGACTAACATATTCGGAAGTTCGGATAGAATGAAGGGATACGGAGACCTGTCGATCTATGAGGTCGATCGAGTGATCAAGGTACTTGAGATAGGAAAGTAAGCGAGATGCGATCATCCATGGGAAAGATTTAAAGGTATTGCATTTTGGTTGTTTGGGTAACTTCCTCCCGGAGCAGAATCAGCTACGTAAAAGATGTTCGACTAATAACTATTCCCTCAGAAGTATTCCCTCGTCTCCCCACTACTGCTCCTCCCCTGAAGCTTATTCAGTAACGCCCGCTCGAGGCCATTGCCATGAGCGAGGTCTTGTCCCATTGATAATATGTTTTTGGATATGATCCAAACGCAGCGGTTGGTCTAAACCTGTAAGAGTGAGGCCTTCCTGTATTTGCGGATCATCGTATTTTAGAGCCTTTCGACAATACCCGCACCAAAATCCATCAGCATGAATCGGAAAACAATTATCTCTCTGGACTGACAGCACCTCGCTCCAAGAGGTACCCACTCCGTGCATCATTGTCAAGTGTTGTGCAAACTCGAAACGTTGCGTAACCTTGAATGATGTATTGCAACGCCTTGAATCATTGTCACGGTCCGACAGCGAACACACCCAGTAAATGCCGTTTAGATCCTGGATTCGTTGCTCAGAGTGGCTTTTCTCACAAAGTCTCCAATCCCGTGCTTCCAAGTAAGGCGAGGAGCAAAAGGTACAGAGGAAACCATCAGTGACACTATCATGCGTTTCTTCGTGGGTCGCATGTTCCGCCATAGTTAGTAGTGAAACGTTGGCCACAATACCCATAATAGCATCTGGGTAAGTGTTCACTGTGCCCATTCGTAAGGCCATTCCCATTTGTATGCGAGGTCCCGTTTGCGGACATGGTGCCTGGAAGGCTGTTGTTAGCATGAACTCGCAAGCTTCACCAAGAGAAGGAACAAAATATCAATTACCTTGGCAAAGACTGGTAATTCAGACTATGGGTCCAGGGAAGACAGATGTCAGATTTAGTTGAGGCGTGCGTTTCATAGAGTACTAAGGTCTGTTAGCTGGCGCCGTGATGTATAATACTGGCTGTTCTGCTTAAGAAGCCGGATCACCCCGCCCTTCATATATTTGAGGTAAGACTCGGTAATTGATACCTGGGTTGAAATTCGTGATCGCTAGGATGGTTTCGACAAACTTAAGTCCCCTTTCATGATAAGTTTACCTTGAGCGGTGAAGCATTCATCTTCTTCGCACTAGCGACGTAGATCGTCTATGTTTTGGTGTTTCAATATGAAATGTCATGTCACCTGTCGAGAACGAAATGTAAAGTTATCAATGAACCATTCTTGAGATTGACCGCCACTGAGAGTCTGTGGGTCGTGAGCTGCACCCATGATTCCGAAAAATACCTAGACCTGCCTTGATGATTTCTTGGAAAAGCTTAGCTAGATAGCCGGTAAAACTCCCCGAAAAAGGTGGCCAAAGAGCTGATGAACGACTGACGCCTCTCTAGCAGGGTGAAGCTGTCTGGCTTTCATAATCCGGAATGTATGAGATGACAAGTCGCGCAGTTGTATGGTGTTGTTTACCATGATTCAGCGGTAAGTATGTCTTTGAAACCTTAGATAGATAGTCCAGATTGCCGTCATGAGCTTTAGACGGTTCGTGGGTAGGGCTTTGTGGTTACTTTGATTCCTGGATGGATTCTTTATGGAGATTTTCTCAAACGCCACTACGTAATTGTATCCTTGGCAATCCGACCCTTCAAAGGCTTCAATGCCGAGCGGATGATGTCAAAATTGAATATGAAAGTGTTCGCAAGTTTGCAATAATATTAACCGACTAGTGCGTGAAACCTTGTGATACTCAAGATACCGAATATTGACTGAAAGGACCCATAACTCGCTGACATCGCGAAATTTGCGGAGAATATCTTGGTATCCTGCCATGACGAATGATGGTCGGTAAAGACCAAGAGTTTGATTGGTGAAAACTTTCTGTCGGCCAGCAAGGATTGGTGTTTCTCCACAAAGAATGCGGTAAACGATGTCAAACAAGCAGTTGCCACATCCTTCCAGTCTTCTTTGTGGGCCTGAATGTTTCTGCGGTAGATTATTCAGGCCTTCTATCTTGGTTGACGGTGCGGCGGTAGGATGGCGTTTTCTATGTCCTGGCAAATGAACATGTGCATGATTGTTACTTTGAACAGATGATCTTTGTTACCGCCTCTAATGAGATCATTGCCAAGAGTCGAGGCTGATAGCAAATATGACTCTTATGGTTGGGCGCCTGTCTTGGATTCCAAACACAAATTACCACCATCCATAAGGTGTTGGGTATTGATTATTGCGTAGTGACCTGTCACTAGATGCCAATTCATTATATCATACGAAGTTCCGGTGGAAGAGGAACTGAATTACAATCGTTTAATGCAGGGAAGATGTTAAAGAAATTGGTGTTTTGTTTTCTTTTCTTCTCTTTTTTTGTTATTTTTTTTTATTTTATTTTCTCTTGCACTTCTGTGATACTCAAGCGTGCTCAACCGCCTAAGTACTTTAAGGATATTTCGAACATGCAACTAGCAGCTACATGCTAAGAGGCACGCATGTTTCCCATGGTTCAGCAACCAGTGGTCATCAAGCTCAACCACTGACTTCTAGTATGTCAGATACCTCCCTCTTGTACTTTGTCTCAAATTCCCGCAGTAGGCAAGTGCCCGTTAGAGTTCCCATCGTCTAACATGTGCCGTTGCAAGTGATCCAAACGCAGCGGCTGGTCCAAACCACAGATAACAAAGGATCGTAAAAAGTCTGGATCGTTATATTTGATACCCTTAACACATTATGGGCAATAGAATCCGTCAGCGTAGATCGGAAAACTCGATCTCCCGAGGACTGGGATCACCGCACTCCATGATCGGCCCACCCCGTGCAGGGTTACTAAGTGTTCTGCGAACTGGGTACGTTGTTTCGCGGTGAAGGATGTGTTGCACGCTCCTGTACCTCTAGGTTCTGAGCAAACCCAGTAAATGTTGGTCGGATTCGTGATATATTCCTCATCATGTTCAAGTTCGTGATCTCTCCAGTCCGTCGCAACTGAGAAGAAAGTACCGCAACCCGGATAGGTACACGGAAATTCCTGATTACGAGGCCTTCTTTGGTGCTCTTCATCAACGTGAGATGAATAAGCCGCCTCAGTAGTGAATCGTTGGCCGCAATATCCGTAGTAGCACACATAGACATGGGCGCCATTGACATTATTTCTGCTGCCATTAATACTGATTCCATTTGTAGATGGACCTCCGTTGATCTGCGAATTCAGGTTGTGGTTCCCGTTTGTGACAGAGTTCCCGTTTGTGCGTCGATCCCTCTCCGCACGTTCTGTCCCGTTTGCGAACATGATGCTTTTGTAATAACAAGGTCAGTATATTCTAGGCGCGTGACCATGCCGATAAGAAAATCAAGTGGTAGGTACCCTTAACTACGTTAGATTGGTGGTGATGATTTAAGATATAGAGAGAGTTGACACTCAAATTCATAGGGGAAGTGCGAGGTCTGGAGATTGTGTAGTTCTGATGTCGTGGTGTGTCTCGACCTGACCTCGAAGAATGACACACGTCCACCCTTGATATACTACTAATGAATTAATGCTACGTTTCAACACCCCAGTTAGACCAGACCCGTAAAGTGCCGGGATTCTTGGACTGTTCTACTTCCATACCCTTGCAAATCTTCTACCTCGGGCGGTAAAGCATTGTTCTTGACTAACATTCATCGGCTAAGACTCTCTTTCTGGATGCAAATTTCCAACGTCATCTGGTGAAATCAGAATGAAAGCCATTCCATGAATCCATCCTAGCACTAACCGCCACCAGGGGGCTCCACTTTGTCAGCTACGTCCTGGATCCCGCTGCTTCGAGTGCAGAAAATCTATGGCTCAATCTGGATATCATGCCTTTGAGTTCAATGGGTGACCTTCTAGGGCATTTGAAAGAACCTCTCCGGCCTTCTTTAGTGAAACGAGTCTGCCTAAATAAGAAATTTTCAGATCTTCTGATTAGAATCATATTACGGTGTCACGGCAATGAACACGTGCGTCTTCGTCATATTGAATAGATGATCCCCATCGCCCCCTTTGAGAAACTCATCGTCCAGAATTGAGTTCAGCAAAAAAGAACTTTCCACTACGCAGCAAACAGGCGCCGGCCCCGAGATCCAAACACTGCATGTGAGAATGTGCCCTTGACTCAGCGTGTAATAACCTGCATTCTGAGATGACCTGTTGGTAATTGCCGCGTCGCTTTACGTCGTATGTTTAAGGATCTCTCTGGAGAAGGTAATCACCACTCGTGGGGAGAGTTTCAGACAGTTTATTTCAACTCGTCCTGTACCTGCACTTCCTTGATGATGGAATATACTCACTGAACTGTCTGAGTAGGTCCAAGATATTCGGCCAGTAGCTAGGTCCTAAGAAATATCCCCTGTTCTCATGGTTGAGTGGCTCATCATCAAGCACAATCACTGACTTCTCCCATGAATCGCCTCCCTCTCGCGCTTCTTACTCCGTTCATCCAGCGGCCCATCATTGAGCACAATAGCTGATTTTCATTCTACGAATTTTCTCTCTCTCTCTCTCTCACCCCCGGACTAGGCCACTGCCAATGGATGCCGCCATCTTCCAATACATGCTTTTGTATGTGATCTAGACGAAGTGATTGCCCTATTGCTTGGAGCTTGAGATCCCTTTTGATCGCCGGGTCATCGTATTTGAGACCCTTACCACAACGCCCGCACCAAAATACACTATGCTTGAAACAAGTTTTATTGAGAATCTCATTTTATCCATCCTCCGTTCGGTGATAGCCATGCCGTATACACAGGTGGTTTTGGCAGTTGGTACCTTGTTTACTGGTATAAGATGTGTTGCACGTTTTCCCATTCATGGCCGATGCCTTCGAACACACCCAGTAGACCTGGGGCTGTCCACGGCCAGCAACGTGTGATGCTTCGCATGCTCTCCATTGGAGTGCATTCCCATAAGGCTGTCCGCAGAAAGTACACATGAAATTGCCAAGAAAGTGTTCGGTTTGTTCGTGGATCTTCCGGGGGTCTCCATTCTGGAATTGCAAGCTGCAATACCCATAGTAGCACGTAACATGCGCTGTTTCGTGATCAATCCTATCCGCCACACTGTCGAATGCTTGACTACAATACGTTCACGTAAGATGCGTCTTCTCGTGCGCATCTCTTGCGTTCTTTATGATAGCAGACAATTGCGAGTATGACACCCATAAACGGGTTCTGCGACATACTTTCGTTACAATGCCGTTAGCATGTGCCAAACTAATCCACTAACTTTGTGGGCAGATAAAAACGAAAGCGACCTTGATTCGTGAGTTAAGTTGTAGTTTCAAGATTGTAACTTGTAGGTCAAGTGCAAGGTTTGTCGAAAGTCCTGAGCGAGGGACTGTTTTCCCACTTTGAGTAGAAAATCTCACGTCTTATACATCGGTGTTTCGATACACTTCACCACGTAGAGCAAGATCTCGTGCTCTCGACATTCTTAACTGTTACACTCTAATGATTTATGGAAAGTTTAGGTGGTGTGTTGTTTACTCTTCTTGAGTGACACTATTAAAATCCGATTTGGTATTGAAGAAGGAATAAAGACTTTCTGTGTGACGAAAAAATATGAATGCAAAGTTCACAATGATTTCTCCTCGATACTGACCACCAGAAAAGCTATGCACCACGAGACGAATCATAGATTCGCTTTGAGGATCATTCAGCGGATGTCAAGTCAGACGCCTCTTTGGGATATCTGCAAGAAGTGTCCCATGACAACATGGCTCGGTCACTTTAAGGATTTATGAGTCGTGGCGATTCAGCTCGCCTGTCTTCACCTTTTTTGCGGTTTGCCAGCGTTGACATGCCCCGGCGGCAAATACGTCTTCACCATTGTGGCCAGGTGACCCTCCCCCGATGACAGCCTTCGAGACTACGTTTCAGTAAACCATTTTGAAAGCTATTAGTCATTAACGGCAATGAGATTCGACTAGGTGTCAATGTGTTTACTCTTGTGTTGCGTGAAAGAAGAGCCTGCTCAAACCAGAGCTATGTGAGTGTCACTATCAAGCTAAAAGAAACTCTGTATGAGAAAGAAGATAAGGATATAAATTCAGGTACTCTCTTATAGAAAAGATATTCAACTAGCAGCTAGATTCTCGTGTACATATTTCACTGCTCTGGTTCACTAGCTAATGATCGTAGACAATCGCTAGATTCAACATCATCAGTCTCCTCAACCTCATCAAGACGCTTCCTGATTAGGCTGTTGCAGCGCACTTTCTCGCAAGGATATCATATGCCGTGAGCGGTGATCCAAACACCGCGTCTGCCAGTGCCCGTAGAAACGGGGGTAACTCTCGAATTCGGAATCATAGAGCTTGCGAGCCTGGCCACAATCTTTACACCAGAACCTTTGTCCGTTCGACGTGACATTATAATCTTTGATAACTGTGGACGCTTGTTCGGGTGGTATGTGTATGTTATGTTCCGACAAGTGGCTCGCAAACTCGGAACGTTCTTCGCGCTTGAAGGGTGTGTTACACGTACTAGTCCCATCATCTTTCAGTTCCGTACAAATCCAGTTAGGGCCGTTCTGATCACGGTCGCCCTGGTGTGATATTTCACACCTTTTATATTCGATCATAGTGGGATGTTTCTGATTGCACCCAGAACACTCGAAGTTCTTGCCAAATTCATTGTCGTGCGTCTGTTCGTGATATTCTGCAACTGACATAGTATGGAACGTTTCGTTACAAATCCACCAGTATGAGCACTGGAAGTGCCTTGCTGTATGCGCATTTCGAGCGATCTCAGTTGGGAACTCGGCGAATTCGTAATATGGGCACTGCACATAAGGGCAGGTAAATCGTTTCGTAAGGGTGGGAGAATCCATGCTCTCATTCGTCCTGTTTCAGTTCAAATCTCCGATTGTATAGGAATGCCGGCTGGGTAGCTCTTTGGTAACCCGGTTTGTAGATATGATGCCCTGAATTTAGTACGATCAGTATGTGCGAGGTTCGCCGAATTTCCTGGGCAGGGGTAATGATAATAGCTCAATACCTCAAGATAGATAGACGGTTTAAGCTTTGAATGTAAGATTGCCGACAATTTCTTTTCGGGGCTGAAAACCAAATCTGCCAATTGACTCGCTGTGCTGATGCTCTTGGTGCTTAGATAGGGGCCATTCCTGCTTCCATGCTGGACAATCCCGCCCTTAAATACTCTGGATTATACTGACACGAATTAAGAGACGTTTTTGTGGGATCTAGATCACTTGACTGTTCTCGTGTCCGTTATGCTTGCAGATTGTCACCTTGGCTGGTCAAGATGAAGCTGTTCAGAGAACTGTCCTTCAGACTACCCTTGCACCTCTGTGGCTTTGCCATAGGGTGGCACGGCAGCATTCACCCTGAACTAGTAGAAACCATTGACACTTTGATTAGATGATCCAGCCTACCGCCAGTCCGTCCGTCCGCCTCTCAAACCATTGCCACATCCACGAGCCATCAGGATGCATTGCCCCAAGCTTTTCCTTCTTCCTTTAGCCGATGTTCACAACCGCCGGTGACAATGAATGGCTATTCCGACCAAAGGCCTCAAGATTCAATAATGCAACCTCTACTGAAAAGATGAGCGTGTTCGCGTCAAAAGTTGGCTGGGCGGAAGGACATGTTTGCTTACCTCCGACGACGCAGTTTGGTAAAACCGTGAACAACTGATCGAGTTAAGTCTCCTGCTAGTAGACAAAGAGCGTACCAGTATCGCGAAGTTTGCTTACTGCATGTGTCTAAATCTTGCCTACTGCGGTAAATGCTGAGATAGCCAGTCACGAAGAACCTCGTGGCCGGACAATCGACAACGGTCATCATAACAGGGGTCTCGCCGGCAAATCAGGCACGAGATCTATTTCCTCAACTATCAACGACAGTTGTTTCTTCAACAAAGGATCCAAGAAACGACCTCGGCACTGAGTCCCTCAGTGACAGCAGCCACGTCCAAGCTGCTAGTAAGCAACGGCTGGGATGATTGTTCACAACAAAGAAACCAAAGAAAAAGTTCAATTCTCTGTACGACATCCCCCAGCGAACATATCCAAGATGTCCGGCACCCATGTGTCCAATCTCCACAACCTCCCGCCACCCACCATCCATGGACCATCACGGCAACCCCTGCCTCACATCCGTCCTCTCATTCAACCCCCATGCCTGCGAACTCCCATCATGAACAGTAGCCCTTCTCATATCTCTCCTGTACTTGTACGCAAAGTCCCCACCCATGGCGCGGTGCATCGTGCAGGTATTATCCCAGATGACCATATCCCCGACATCCTCCCAGTCCACCACGACGCGGTACTTTTCCTGCGTAGCGTGGTCAAAGAGCTTCTCGAACAAGGCCTTTGAGGCCTCCGGAGTGAGGTTCTCGATATGGTGGATGTGCATTGCGAGATAAAGGTTCATCCGTCCAGAAGCTTCATGTTTTTGCACGAGCTTGTGTCGTCCCATTGGATAGTCTGCGGGTTCAATGTTCGCAAAGTGCTCCGGGGCCGCGAGTTTCTTGGAATGCAGGATAGAATGGCAAGCAACGTAGTCTTTCTCCGTCAACTCCGCCTTCATATCCTCATCCAGCCCATCCCACGCAGCCCTGGTATCGCAAAATTCTGTGCTTCCACCTGTACCCTGGGGAGGCAACTCATGTGCCAGGAGCATGGAATAGCCCGCCCGCCTAGGATTGAAACTCGAATCGACGTGAAAGAAAGCATTACCCAACCCAGCCTGGGCACGCGGGGATTTAGGGTCGACGATGGAACCGTCTGCCTCAATGTTTCCTACGTCAAAGAGCTCGTCGTACTGGAGGCGGTTGATACGACCCGCTTTATTGTAGGGCTTGACATCGTCTAGCTCGCCGAGATGTCGAGCTAGGGCGATGTGGGTTTCGTCTGTAAGGCCGCTTTTGCGGATGACGAGGAAGCCGTGCTGTTCAAAGGTTATCAGCCAAGTATGATAGGGAGGCTTTACAGATAAGAAGGGTACCTCGGAAGCTTACCTTTTTGACAAGATCTTCAATCAGGCGAGCGCTTTGATCGAGTGTGTCAGGTTGAAATGGAAAGTTGTGTGCTTCGATCCCGAAGCCGGGGCTGAGCTCCTTGGTATGAAGTTCGGTGATAGCCATTGCAATAGTCTGTATGGAGAAAGTGGTCGGGATGGTTTGCAGCCAGATGTTGAGCTTGGGCACGCAAGATGGGGGGTATTTATATTGATAGTTAAAATGATTCGAGACGTACGATGAGATCACGTATCCGAGTCACTTATTCCCCTCTTCCGATCAGTAGATGAAAGCCGTCCATTTCCGCGGGATAGGACGGGTAGACGATTGATCCAATCATCTTACACCTGAGAGAGTGCGGGACTCGTCGGAGAGGGAAGAGGGTTGAGCAAGCGCTAATGTTTAAGCTCTCGGCAATAAGACGGCCATATTCCCAACATAAGGTAGGAAGTCGGATATTGCATCCATCACACATAACATAACGAGGGGGAGGAGAAGGGGTTGGGCATCGGAATTCGCTGATGTTGGAAAGTGTTAATTTATTATTCGCGCTGAATTAAGATTCAAACAGTAGCGCAGCTGGAACGCTGCGTGGGTATAGTATTATGATCCCTCCTCAAAGACGTCGTATGCTGTATCCCGTATTCGTCAGCCTGAAGCTGGTGTATCAAGTTTGTTTATTCATGTTCAACCGCAGCAGACGGTGGCCTCGCTGGCAGCAGAGGTGGGGCCATCGTAAATAGTCTCCCATTGGAACAGGAAGGCACCGATGTAGGAACCGATGAAGATGCAGATGATGAGGTAACCGTTGTAGTACATGGCAAGACTAAGGACAATATTAGCGCCATTCTTTGAGGTGAAGGCAGCGTCAAGGCAACGTACAGCATGACAAAGTAAGCGACGGCGAATTGGCACATGTGGATGAGTGCGCGGACGGCTTGCTGCAGAACGTTGGGGCGGAAAGGCGGGACGACGTTTGCGGTGATAGCGGCGGCGGAGCCGGAGGGGCCTTTGCCGTGGTCGTCGGCGCTGGCGGAGCTCGGGGAGACGGCACCGGCGTTGGCGTATTGCTGCTTGTGGGCCTTGATGAGGTATCTGTCGTACTCCTTGGTGGCCCGGCGAAGAGCCTCAAGAACCATGACCAGGAGAATAACCCCGATACATGAGCCGGCAAACATGCCGTTGGAGGTGATCTTCCCTGTATGGGTGTTAGTGGTTTGACATCATCGTTGGCACAGGTAGGGAGTTCGTACATTGGCTGCTGATGAAGCAGCTGTCAATGACGTTCCAGTTCCACAACATCTATGAAGCGGTTAGTAGGCGCCATGGATAGCAGAGATAGATGGTGATGGCCAGGACGTACAGAGATCTTGCAGCCGGTACTGCTTCCCATGCCAGACATGGCGGCCTTGGTGCTGGTGGTAGCAGCCATGCTCATGGTGCCAGTAGCAGCCATGACAGTGGTGGTGGTGGCCATTGACATGCCGTCCATCTTGTCGGTTTATTCGTAGATGCTGCTGAAGACAATTTGTGGTGCTATTAGTTGTAGTAGTTGTAACCTAGTACTGATGTCGTGATACTCCTAAACGACGATCGATCGAAGGAGCAGGGGCCTGGAAGATGTCAGAGTATCGGTAGAGCGAAGCTGGAGAAAAAAAGACAAAATAGAGTTTGAGTAATGGGGATATGTCTCGACATTGTTATATAAAGGCAGCGTCAGCAGGGAAGCCGATCGATCTTCTCACTTCTTTGCCGCGAAGGGAAGAACGACCTTTGCCAAGAGACCCACTTTGCGCTAGATTTCCATGGGATAGAGCGAGTTACAAGGACCAGTTTGCGCTAGATTCCTTCCCGAGAGACAAAACAAGGGTCTAGAAGTGAGATTCGGTGGGTTGGTGGGCAGAGAAAACACGATATCCGTGGACGTAGACATCGTAGCACGGATGGAGTGGGAGAGAGCGTAGGTCGTCCCGGTTGGACTGTGGCTGATTGAGGGGCATCGGTGTAAATGCAGCGACGAGGATGTGTCGATGATAATCTGATGAGGCTCCACTTGACGAAGTCCTTTACTTGAACTCTAAGGCACGTACCATTCCTTCCATGTCTTTTCGGGGACAGAAACGTAAGGCAAGACACGACCTTCTGTTCTTGCCTGCAGTGCCAAAGAAAGAAGTTGGCTCTTCATGTTCACAGTTCGCGCTTGCCGTGTGGCCTGTGTTACATAAGGTACATCGAGGTACGTACAGCAGGACATGATGTTGGAAGGAAACAGCCAACGAGGTCTATGGTAGAGTGACCTGCCTTATCGTATGTTCAGGTAGGCGCATGTAAGAAAACCGCACGGGGAGACCGGGGGTAAATCTGCTCTCTTGCCTGCTCTCTTGCCTGCTCTTTCTTGCTCTGTTTCCTGCCTTTCCTGCTGCCAAGACAGCGCTATCGCTTCCTGCCTCAAGCATCCTGAGAGTTTTTGAGCAAGTTTACGCCCAATTGCAACCTCGAAGTGCCCCAGTCTGCTTCCCAACTTCCTGCACGACACATGTCCCGGCTCCAAGTCTCGATTCTTGCTATGCGATTCTCCATGTTCAACGCATCGTGTATTCCCTCTCACTCATAAGGTTGCGTCTTGCTCTTGCACAGTACAGGCGACAGGCTACACAGGTACTGACTTTTCTAGTCCCTCTGGCAAAGTGACAACGGGCAGGTCACGTTCGGCCGCTGCATCGCAGATGCACCCCGAGGCTCGAATTACCAGCTAACCCAGCAGACCACAGATTGACAAAGCAACAACCCCATTCAAGATTCACAGAGAGGGAGGCAATGAGGCACTGTAGTCTGTACCAGCATTGTTGCTGATGAGGACCTGCACCTCATGAGTCCAGCCCTGTCTCCCGTCGGGCTGATCGTCGAAATCGAGAAGGTCGCGCACCCCAACGCCGGATTATGGGGTACTTGTCCCAGGCTTCATAGGAATGACGGTGAAGTCTGAGCCATCTCTCTAGACGCCCTGTACGCCCGCCACCAGCCGCGTCACGTACGTACAACCATCAGCGATTCCAAGCTCACTAGATACGGTCACTATACTGTCCCTTGTGTTGCGGGGCCAGACTGCGACTCGGGACGATTCTCCCCAATTAGAAAGTCGAGACTTCTGGCCGCTGCCCCCAAGGCCACTTTCAGTCGATACTATGCGATGCGGTGGAATCGGCCAAGCAAAAGTGGTCGACGCCCCCGACTTACCGTGCGCTATTCTGAGAACATTTGCGAAAGATTGTCGATTCTAGCCTCCCGATTCCCGACGCCGATGCAATCCCTTCATGTATTGCTACCTCGCCTGAGCAAGCAGCTAACTAACAGTGGAGTGTACGAAGCTGTGGCCCGCGAGGATTCCAACCGATCCAACCAGGCGCACTCGGATCTTGTGGTTGTGAAGCGCCCAAAAGAGCCCCAAGTTTGATTTCGCCCTCAATTGGGCCACAACAGGAGGGTTCCGCCGCCCCGGCGCTGTGCGTCTGCTTCTGCAATATCGGCCTGCCGTTGGATTGCGTCGCATTGCAGCTCGCCTCGCCTCTCTAAATTGCTCGCTACAACCCGTTCGCTGCTTGTTGGCCGCCTCATCACCAACCACATGGTGTTCACCTTTTGGCCTACCTGCTACTTTTACTGCATGTCTCTGTCTGGATTCCCAAGAAAACAATATCGGTCAAGCGACCAGAGGCTTCACAGCTGCGACAGCAAAGCCAAGGCCGGATAGATGAAGCTACCAGGGAAGCCTGCTGCAACATCAACCCTAGCGTCTGGCTCGCAATCTCCGCTATGCTCTAGCTTCGCTTTCCCGCCCCTTCAGACTGCGGCTCCCATGCCTCGATTCTTCCCGCCGATCTCACGGCTTGCTGCCGACGAATGACGCTGTCGCCGAACACCTCCCCACTCAACTTTATTTGCGGCGCACTTGGACCTGGGCCCTGGCATCAAGGTGGGTGGCGGATTTCAGCGGCCATCCAGTAATTTAGGCATAGGAGCTAGCTTTTCTGCCCGCCATGAGCATTATTTTACAAGTAAAGATACACAGTTTCCAAACTCCCCCGAAACGCCAGTCTTTCGTCCCAGCAAGCCATAGAAATTCCGCTTCCATCTCGAACAATTTCCATTACAGTTCAGCCTTGGTCTTGTCCTCCGTCTTGGACTCGAGCGCGTACAACTCCCTCGGCTGGCCTGCCGCGTCGCAGCTGGCGAACTTCCACCACCCCCAGTGCCAAGCACCAGCGATATTGATCAATCCCCACTTGATCGGCGCCGGCATGGGCGGCCAGTTCGCCCACAACCCGTCTTCCGTTGTCCGGTCCAGGTTCAGCAGGAAGAACGGCACTACGTCCGCCATGCCCGCCTTGGTGACGGTGCTCTTGCCCCACGTCTTGAACGTCAGACTTGCGTTGGCCGCCTCCGGCGTTCCCTCCTTGGGCGCGTTCGGGTGCTCCGCCATGCCGGCGATAGTGGTGATCTCGCTATGGAAGTGGTTCTCGAATGGTTCTTGGAAGCTCTTCATGATTTCGAGGAGCTTGTCGCCAGAGAAGTCGGCCGGCGAGGAGAGGGAGGTAAGGTACTTGTTGAACTCGGCGAGGCCGCCCAGGAATGATTCTGATCATATCTTTGTCAGTTGACCATCGCGAATTGGTGTCGTGGACATCAGGTACGTACCATGCTCCTTATGCGTCTCGGCAAAGACATTCTTGTCCTCCAAAAGGTCCTCGACCTTGGTGAAGAGCGACTCCTCCTCGTCATCGTGGTGCGACTTGACAAATTTGAACCAGGTCTGGGAGTATCCGATAAAGTCTGCCTTGTCTGCTTCCTGAATGTAGGGCGCTTGTTGGTAAATGGAGTTGTAACCTCGCAGGATCGAGTTGTGCAGCAGGGCCATGTGCGTTGAGCCCAGCGTGAAGAGGTCGGTCTATTGGACTGTTAGCTGGAGCTTCCTCCAACTAGGCCCGATCCCCATTGATCCCGTTCCAAGCAACCTACGAACCTTTTTGGTTGCATATTGCGGCGTGGTGATGAGCTTCATGGGCCCGTCGGCCCAAGGCTTGGTGGTTTGCGGTGTCGTGGTCATCATGAATGGTGCTCTAGAAGCTAGCAAGCTGATGAGGATGCTTGGAATCACAAGCAAGAGATATCCGGCCATTTTGACAGAGTTCGGCGGAACCTAGCGAGAGCGAATGGCGCAACTGATATACAAATCAGGGTGGAAAGTGGTACGATTCACTGACGTGCCTTTGCCGCCTGTTGAGGGAATCGAGGGTCGGGGTTGCGTGACCAAATGGACAGCTAGCAGCAGCGCAGCGCAGCTTTGTATTGGATGTCAGCTCGGGGCCGAGAAAAGGGAAGCTTGTCCAACCTTTACAACAGTTTCTGGAGCTTCCGGGTCTCTAGAGCGTGGGGTGAAGGAAGAAGAATGAGAGGTTGGCTGATTAAAAGGCAGTTCGCCATTGGCCCGTGCCTGGGGAGAGCGCTGGGAACCTGGGGTGATGTGCAGGGAGCTCTGGCACGGTTTCACCTGGGGAGCTCCCGCTAATGCCGCTGTGGGATCATGGCGGTGGCTGCCGACGGGATGGGGTCACCGATGCGGTTCCTGGATTGGGTAATCGGGACCCTTGGGAGACGGGGGAATGAGACGTCGAGCCGGGGCTTCGGACCTTGGTGACCTGCCGATGTCCGAACATGTTCGGTATGACGGGAAGAGTGGAGTGTGGAGAGCCTAGACGAGCAGACATGGCGGAGTCAATTGGCTCGGCTGCTGGTGATTTGACTGCCAAGTTGGTGTAGAAGCTGGCTAGGAGTCTTCTCGAAGCACGCGGTCGAGCTGAAGTCTGTTCCCAGTCACCGGGATGTCACCGGGAGCTTTGGGTTGAACCGAAGTCTGGTGATCATGTTATTTATCAGGAAGAGTAAGGTAAGGTAAGGGTTGTGAAGTAGATGCCGGCGAAGATGACATTGAGATCCACCATGAGCATGACACATATGGCTATGAACTTTCCTAAGAATATGTGACCTTCAATCGCGCAACTAAATGCGAATGCGATGTTGCAGTTTCTCAGAGGTACAGATACGAAAGGGACACTCCAACCGCAGGCCTGTCCCTCATAATCCGCTGAGTAGGCCAACCACAAAGCAATCGGCAGCACAATCAGGCCTCAGCGGTCACCCGAACCCAAGCGCCACACGATGGAAGGAATTTTTTTTTTCCATCTGCCCTTATCGAATAAGAAGCAAACCGTACAAGGCCATTGTCTTTCCTGGAAGTTCAATTGCCAAAGGACTTTCCAAAGTCGGGAACAAAGCGGTGAAGACAACTCACCGTGCGGGGTTCCAGGCAGGCGCTCGGTTTGCGTACACCCAACGACGTGCCTGCCTCTGGCGTGTAAGTGAAGGGCGTCTGTCTCCACGCCTTAGCATCGACATCACAACTTCATCATTCATCAAATCAACTTATCATCCAGCTCGGACCATCTAGACTTCATCATCAGAACAAGTCACAGATCAACTCATCAACACGACACCAACTTCGAATAATTCCAACCACAACCCCGCCAACATGCCTACAGAAGGAGTCTACTACACCCCCAACGGCAAAAAAACCGTCATCCCCCTCGAAAACAACCCCGACGTCTTCACCTCCCTCATCCACGACCTCGGCATCTCTCCCGAGCTAGGCTTCTTCGACGTCTACAGCCTCGACGAGCCCTCCCTCCTCTCCCTGGTGCCCCGCCCCGCGCTCGCCTTAATCTTCATCTCTCCGGCGCCAATGTACTACGCCGTCCGTTCCGCCGACGGCACGAAGCTCGCCAAGGAAGACGGGGTGACGTATGCTGGGTCCGGGTCGGAGGAGCCTGTGATTTGGTTTCGGCAGACGATTGGGAATGCGTGTGGGTTGTATGCACTCATTCACGCCGTGGGCAACGGGCCCGCGAGGGAGTTTGTGCAGGAGGGGTCGTTGATTGAGAGTCTGCTCAAAGAGGCGGAGCCGTTGAAGTGGGAGGAGAGGGCTGATGTGTTGTATAATAGCCTACCGCTGGAAGAGGCGCATATGAAGGCTGCGAGGAGGGGAGATACGGCGGCGCCGCCTGCGGAGGAGAAGCCTGGGTATCATTTTATTGCGTTTGTGAAAGGAAAGGATGGGCATTTGTGGGAGTTGGAGGGCGGGTCGGATGGGCCTGTTGATCGGGGGTTGTTGGAGGAGGGGGAGGATATGTTGAGTGAGGGTGCGTTGGAGAGGGGGGTGAAGAGGTTTATTGGGTTTGCGGATGGGAACTTGGAGTTTAGTATTGTTGCGTTGGCGAAGAGGGAGGAGTGAGGGTGTTTGGGCTGTAGGTTGTGGTGCATGATGTGTGATACGTGGCATGGGGATCGGCGTTGTTTGCTTTGAGGAACTCTAGATTGTAAACGGGATTGGAATTTGGTATGCATAGCTTAGAGAACACATTCGTTTGCAGTTAACTTGATTCAAACGCCCTCCCTTGTTCTTATTCGAGTCACTTCAATGGTCCCTTAAGAATGATTCCGGAACTTGTTCCTTCCTACAGGCGACGCAAAGGGATTGCCCAATGTAGCATCTAACATTGGTGTACTCACCTTGCTCACCGAACTCCCCAGTCCGGCTCTGGGTGTAGAAGGTACACCGAGGTGAGGACAAGCAGGTAGAGGTAGGGAGGTGAGGGGTTCGGTGAGGCAGGGCGAACTCAGCCTTGAACCCCTCCATCTGCACGAGCCAGCCAACGGCCCCGCCCGTCCAATCAGCACGCGGCGCCGCTCCAACCATCGAAAGAGCTAGAAGGGCGAGCTTGGGCTGTTTTCTTTCCCGCCTTTGCTGCCTTTGACTGCCTCACCCCACGACGAGAATTCCAAGTTCTCTTTCTCCCCAATTCCCACACCACAAATCTACCAGATACCCTGACAACACGTCTACCTTGCGATTGCATTTGAAGTTCGATTTCGAGTTGATCCATTCCAAAAGTCATCCGCACATTTCCTCAGACACACATATACACACACATCACCATGGCTTCCGCAGACGAGCTCAAGGCTCTCGGCAACAAGGCCATTGCCGAGAAGAACTTTGACGAGGCTGTGTAAGTTTGTCTCTGCTTCCACCCCATATTCACGCAGCTGACAGAGTCCCAGCGCCAAGTTCACCGAGGCCATTGAGATCCAGCCCGACAACCACATCCTCTACAGCAATCGCTCCGCAGCCTATGCCTCCAAGAAGGACTGGCAAAACGCCCTGAACGATGCCAAGAAGACTACCGAGATCAAGCCCGACTGGCCCAAGGGATGGGGACGTCTAGGAACAGCGCAGTACGGTCTGGGTGACCTCCTCGCCGCCAACGATGCGTACGAGGAGGGCCTCAAGGTCGACCCCAACAATGCCGGTCTGAAGAAGGATCTCGCTGCCGTCCAGAAGGCGATGAAGTCCGAGGCTGGTGGTGGTACGTGAAAGACACCAACAAAGAAAAGAAAAAGGACCATGCTGACTGACTTACAACAGACGCTGGTGACCCGATGGGTGGCCTCGGCAACATGTTCAACGACCCCCAGCTCGTCCAGAAGCTCGCCGCGAACCCCAAGACGGCCGGTTTCCTCGCCGACCCCGCCTTTATGGCCAAGCTCCAGCAGATGAAGGCGAACCCCTCGGCTTCACCCGATCTGTTCAGCGACCCCCGCATGCTGCAGGTCCTTGGTGTCCTGATGGGCGTCGACATGCAGATGGGTATGCCCGACAACATGCCCGAGGACGCCGAGATGCGCGATGCTCCTCCCCCTCCCCAGTCGAAGCCTGCCGCGCCCAAGAAGGCCCCCACTCCCGAGCCTGAGCCCGAACCCGAAGAAGAGGACGAGGAGGCTATCGAGAAGAAGAAGGCCAAGGAGGCCGCTGACATGGAGAAGGCCCTCGGTACCGAGAACTACAAGAAGCGCAACTTTGACGAGGCTATTGCACACTACACCAAGGCGTGGGAGCTGCACAAGGACATCACCTACCTCAACAACCTGGGTGCCGCGTACTTCGAGAAGGGTGACTTTGACAAGGCCATCGAGACTTGCTCAAAGGCCGTCGAGGAGGGTCGCGAGATCTATGCCGACTTTAAGCTGATCGCCAAGAGCTACGCCCGTATCGGTACCGCCTACGAGAAGCAGGGCAACCTTGACCTTGCCATCGAGAACTACAAGAAGTCGCTGACTGAGCACCGCACCCCCGACGTAAACGCCAAGCTCCGCGCGGCAGAGCGCAACAAGATCGAGACTGCTCGCAGTGCCTACATCGACCCTGCCAAGGCAGAGGAGGCACGTGAGGAGGGTAACAAGAAGTTCAAGGAGAGTGACTGGCCTGGCGCCGTGGCGTCGTACACTGAGATGACGAAGCGTGCGCCCAACGACCCCAGAGGATACAGCAACCGCGCCGCGGCCTTTATCAAGCTGCTCGAGTTCCCCAGCGCCGTCGAGGACTGCAACACGGCCATCAAGAAGGACCCGACCTTCATCCGCGGCTACATCCGCAAGGCGCAGGCCTTCCACGGCATGCGCGAGTACTCCAAGGCGGTGGATGCCTGCAGTGAGGCGTCCAAGGTTGACTTGGAGCACCACAAGGGCGCCAACGCGCGCGAGATTGAGCAGACGCAGCAAAAGGCTCTCAACGCCATGTACTCTGCGCGGGAGAACGAGACGGAGGACCAGACGCGGGAGCGTTTGGCAAAGGATCCCGAGGTAAGCATCCACAACCATGCGACCGGCACAGAGCGACCGGTTCCTTCCATCCGCAACTAGCGACTAGTTTTGGCTAACTTTGTGCACTAGATCATGAGCATCATGAACGACCCCATCATGCAGTCTATCCTCCAGCAGGCACAGTCGGATCCCGCTGCTTTGAACGAGCACATGAAGAACCCCGAGATCAGAGCCAAGGTGCAGAAGCTCGTAGCGGCGGGAGTTATCCGCGTCGGCCGGTAAGAAATCGGAGTGGCGTTGAGGTGAGGTGCTAGTGTGGGGAACGGGTGCGAAGGGAAGGAAAAAAGGTCACGCGTAATGGTTGGACGACGAAACGTTAAAAGGAGCTCACTAGGTCATTTGTAGTGGTTGCAATGTGACCCCAACAACAGAGATATTCCACGTGAGTGCCCTCGGATGTCTTGGAGCGTGATGAATGACTTGCCCTGCCCCGCGAAAATGAGATATTGTAGTTTTTAGGCCAGAGGAGTAAGTAAATCTTTGAAATTTGTGAGACATGTCATGCCGGAATGAGTTTCGCGATGGCTTGGGGTTGTAGTGGTGTGCCAAGTGAGGCCGTAAATGTCGACCCGTGTAAGTGTCACCCGTTGATGAGAATTGTCATTCGAAAAGACATGAGTCGGTGCCTTGGCTCGTCCCATATAGAAGTGCACTATTTGATACTTTTATGAGTTGGCAGATCTAAGTCGCAGGATTTAATTTGTTTCTCTTCTCACTGATACCCTCACTTTGCTTCGCCAGTTACGCGTGTAGTTTCACCACCCACAATCATGGACTCACCCATGAAAGAAGGTATGTCTCAAGCCACTCATCTCATCTCATCTCAGCCTCATCATCTCAGTCCAAGACTAACACCGCATACAGCATACGTCCAACTCATCGAAGTCATCGCAAAAGACACCACAGACCCAGCCGCAACAGAAACCCACGTCCGCCAACTCATCGCCTCCCTCCCCTCCGTCCTCCGCGCCCGCGACGACGATCAGCGAACAACCCTCCACCACGCCGCCCGCCTAGGCCGCACCGCCCTCCTCGTCGCCATCCTCGAAGCCAACCCTGACTCCGACGTCGACGTCCGCGATGTAGATCGCTGTACGCCTTTACATCTTGCCGCGCGTAACGGGCACGAAGGGTGTGTTGCGACGTTGGTGTGCGAGGCGGGAGCGGACGTGAGAGCCGAGGAGAGTTTTCTGGAGACGCCGCTTCATGAGGCGAGTCGGGGCGGGTATGCGAGGATTGTGACGCTGTTGATTGAGAATGGGGCGGTTGTTGATGCGCCGAATCGAGATTTGGGGACGAGTTTGCATATTGCTGCGAGGAGGGGAAATGAGGATGTTATTAGGGTTTTGCTTGAGGCTGGGGCGAATCCCGGGACGAGAGATGCTGTTGGGGATACGCCGCTTCATGATGCTGCTAGGGGCGGGCACGAGGGTGTGGTGATGATGTTGTTGGGGACGGGGTCCGTTTCTATTGAGGCGCAGAACGCGAATGATTTTACGCCGTTGAGCGTTGCTGCGCGCCATGGGCGGGAGGCGATTGTGAGGATGCTGGTGGAGCAGGGTGCGGACGTCGATACCATGAGCAACGAGTACTGCACGCCCCTTCACCAAGCTGCTTCCGAAGGCCACGATGGCGTCGTTCGTATCCTCATCGCCGCGGGCGCGGATGTCGATTTGCAGGATAAGGACGACCAGACCCCCCTCCACGCGGGCGTCATGTTCGAGCACGAGGCTGTTGTCGCCTCGCTGCTCGCCGCGGACGCGGACGTGGATGTCCGGGATACGGAGGACTGTACGCCGCTGCACCACGCCGTGAAGAACGAGAACAAGAGGCTCGTGAGGGATCTGTTGGAGGCTGGGGCGGATCCGACTGTGATTTCGTCGACGGGGGAGACGCCGCAGAGTTTGGCCAAGTTGCTGAACCGCAACTCGATTGCGGATTTGTTCAACTCGCCGCAGGTTGTGCCGAAGCAGAACGTCGGACTCGATGTCTTTGGTGTTTTTGCGGCGGCCGGTGTTGGGATGGGTGGAGGTGGTGGTGGCGGGAGAGTGAAGAAGACGCGTCCGCCGTCGAGGCCGAATCAGGAGGCGGAGATGGAGGCGTGTAAGCACTTTAAGGGGTTATTCTGGTGTCCTTCTTCGGAATGCAGTTTCGAGAGTCTGAGTGTGTGGGATTTGCTGTATGATTCCGAGACGGAGGTTAAGTTGTGTCCGAGGCCGCCTCCGCCCCCGATGACGCCGCCGATGCCGGTGGCGTTGCCGGCGCTGTCTCCACACTCGGCCGAGACGCCGGTCCGGAGCCCCGTTGGATCACCCACACGAAGCCCCGCGCGGTCGAGAGCGCATTCGAGAGCACAGAGTCCCGCGGGGAGTCCGCGGCTCTCGCCTCTTCAGACGCCGTCTCACTCGCCGCCGCATTCACCTCTGCTTCAACCTCCTGGGAGCCCTGGGTTGAACATGAAGGAGATGAGGAAGCACGTCAGCCAGCAGCGCCGCAAGAGTTCGCATACGACCGGTGGTGGTGGTGGTAGTAGCGGCGGTACTGCACGCACCACTAGCAGCCACAAGGAAGACCGCAGGCCTATCAAGCGGTGGTTCCATCTTCCTGCAAACAACGTTGCGTGGGTGATGGACCTCGTGCAGCGGATTTGCGCCGTGGACGGGCGGCCGGATGCCGAGTGTAACCGGATGATTGCGTTCATCGAGGAGACTTTTCAGGAGATTCGGATCAGTGCGCCCTACCGGAAGCCGCATTTTCGGATGGAGGCTGCGACTGCTGCTGCTGCTGCCGGGGCGGCGACGGATGGGAGTGGTGGGACTGGGATGCCGGAGGTGAGTCTTGGATCGGAGGTGCCGGCCGGACAGTTGGCAGCAGCAGCAATAGCACCGCCGAGATCTCAAATGTTCTCTCTGGTACTCCCCGTCATCGACGTCGATATCGACGAGGGCACCAAGAGGAGTCTCCAGGACGTACACATCGGGGATGAAGCCAAGGTCTTTCGCCCGATGGAACTGGTCGGCGGCGGCGCGGCAGCCGTCCCGACAGCAGCAGCAGGCAACGATAGAAGAGCGCCACCGGTCCAGAGGCCGCACCCTCTCAGCGCGATGCCGACGAATCTGCAGCACTACCTCTTCCCCCATCTAGCGCACTTTGACGCCATGGCCAAGATGCGCGCGACGTTTACGAAGTCTGAGCTGCATGTCCCGAGATCGCTGGACCAGTCGTACCACGAGAGTCTCAGCGCGAGCGATCTTGCGCTGCGAAACGAGAGCCAGGTGCTCTTCCGCTATCTTCGGCGCGTCGAGGGCCGACTGGCTGCTTCCGCCGCCTCCGCCGCAGGCACGACGCCAACGGGAACCACAGCAGCCGGGTCATCGACTGCAGGTGACACGATTGCAGAGGACGTGCTAGGGAAGCAACCTCTAACCGAAGACGGCATCGCGTCGACGAGGGTGCATCAGCAGCAGCAAAAGACGCAACATCAACGAAACCCGTTTGATCGGCATGCGCAGAGGGCGTATTCGAGGCAGAGCAGCTCCAAGCAGAAGAAGACGGACGGGACCAAGGCGGAGCTGGGGAGGATGGCGGGGAGGCAGGATCAGGCGAGTAGTGTGCAGGCCAAGATTTCGCGTGAGAAGAGGAGGATGGACACGGAGAGGAGGAAGCAGATTTTGGTTGTTGCGCAGCTTTGGATTTGGAGGATTGATGAGCGTGAGTCCTTCTCTATTCCTCCATTGTGACTTGTCCTGCGCAGGCAGTATTTGAAAGACAGAGGACGGAGCCGGTGACTTTGGATGTTTCTCGGTGGTTTACGAAAGCTGACGATACTTTTATTCTACAGACACCATCATCACCGCGTTCCCTGATCGATGGGATAACAAGAACGCCAAGACGTTATTGAACCAGATCAAGCACCGCGTGCTGGGAACCAGGGACATGCGATCTGAGAACACGGACATAATGCGTGTTGTGGAGAGTATCCTCGAGAGCGCGGTGGAATACAGTGAGGAGGAATTCCACTTCCAATTCGAAGGGCCGCGGAGTTACTGTAACATCTTTGCGGCGTCCATTGCTCACGTTGTAAGTTTCTCTGTCTGTCTTTGCTGGCGGGTGTAGTCACCTACCTAGAAAAAAGGGGTGAACTTTGTGACAAGAGGTCAATCTTAGCTGACTTTGATACCAAAATCCAGTCCAACGAAGCAATGAAGCGCTACGCCAACTTCAAAGCCTCCATCAGCAAAATGGGCACCTCAAAGACGGTCCTCGACGACCTCCGCGCCGAGATCGAGCTCCTGCAGGAGATTGATGACGTCCGGGAGGAGATCAACATGATCAAGCGGGTTCTCCGGTCGCAGGAGCGGGTCTTTGACGGATTCCGTGAGGCGGAGGCGGAGCGGGCTGGGAGTTTATGCGGCGGAGTCGGAGCCGGGGAGAAGCAGGGTGGTGTTGTAAAGCCGTATAAGCACCCGACGCTGGACTTCTTCAAGAGGTTGGAGGAGGATGCGAATCGGGTTCGGGATTCGGTGAGTACTAGATTCTGTGTGAAGGTGTCTGGATGACTGCATCTGGGGAGCGTTTGCTATTGGGTACGTGTGGCTGACTGGGTGGTAGATTACAACTTTGCTGGATTTGAGACAGAGAGAGGCGAATATCGAGGAGGCGCTCTCTGCGAGCGAGCAGTCGAAGATTCTCTTCATCTTTACCGGGGCGACGGTCGTCTTTGTAAGTTGATGCCCAATCTTACCTATGTACAGCAAGGGATAGTGACGCTGACTTTTACAGGCTCCATTGTCTTGGGCAACAGGTGCGTAGCCTGGAAGAAGCCTCCTAGAGGTTCTTCCCAGAAAAGGCGGAAAGAGACTGACTATTTGAATAGGCATCTTTGACATCTCCATTGAGGGCGTACCATCGCCAATCGGCCCTGGGACCCTCATTCTCACATGCGGTAGGTCCCCTTGGCCACAACCCCCCCTCTTCACTCCAACGTCTAACTGACACAACCCCAGTCCTGAGTCTAGTCGCCACCCTCCTCCTCATCGCTCTCTCCCTTCAAATCTACGAATTCGTCACCACAGGAAAAGCAAAGCACCTCTACCGTCGCGTATCCAACTTCTTCGAGGTCCGCAAGCTGGAGAAGCTGGCAGCCGCGAACCAGAGCAAGTCGCCGCCCTCGTCGCTGGGTGCGTCGACGCAGTTGAGCAGGCTGAGGAGGTCGTCTCTCTCGCAGCCCGTCGCTAGCACGACGGCCAACGAGAAGAAGAAGATGCAGAGTGTGAGGAGGAGGCTCGCAGCGTTGAGGACGAGGGGGAGGGGGTTAGGGCGGGATCGGGATGAGGAGAGGGAGGTTACTGGGAAGCAGGTTTGATGATGGGATGGATAGACAGGGCAAATATCTTTTAAGACCGGCATAGAGAAGCGCTATTAACTCTGTATGATAAAGTCGCTTTTCTGATAACTAGACTTTGCGTACATTTAATGAAGCGGGTTCATTATTGTTACAATGTAGTCTGAACAAAGCGCGAGTCTATCTGGTGTGCCGTGCCGCTGACCGGGAGGAGGCCTATGAGCCGCATCCGCGTATACGGTATACCTTACTTTAAAGGAGACATTAGGGTCGGCTTCATAAATTGAGGTACTGTTTCAGTATTTGTGTCCAGCATGCTCTTTAGGTGGCACCAATGTCATTTCACCCGCGCTTTAGTCTCTTTGGTCTTGCGAGGGATGTCGCTACGAAACTTGTCATGACAAAGAACTTGGGCAAGGAGCCAGCCTTCTTTACAACCACTACGCATCTCTTTCCGCTATCGGGCTACCTTTACATACTAGGTGGCACCTCTGGCTGGTACCAAGCAATCGTGAAGTGTGAAGTCCCCTCAACATAGCCAGCCTTATACTTCAGGGGAATCACGGATATGAGTCTCAAAGACACCACCTTTTTCTCACCCTTGGCAGCTTGATCAAGTCACGTAGGAGGGACCATATAGCTTGATAATTATGCTCGCTTGCTAAGCCGATACCGTGCTAAGTACTAATCACTTCAGGCTTGTAGACCAGCCCAACAACAGGGGTGACTCCAGTCTTCCACATCCATGGCAAGTAGATCTATGCATTCCAAGTTGCATCGGCACGATCGGCTCGGTCAAACGCCTTGAGCTCGGCCGAGTCAATCTGAAGCCGTCAATTAGAAGTCCAGATGCTGTTCATGATCCTCGGCCTCCTCGGTCTTCCTCGCTCTTACGGATTTTAATGAATGCGAATGAAACTCTGGACAACCTCTCCTTCAAAGGCTAAAAGTTGTTAATGACTTCATCGCTTGAGAAGAGACATTAGGTGCCGATTTTATCAGATTGTCTCATAAAAAGTTCCCTAGTTGCAAATCGTAGAATCTTACCAGCTTGTCTGCTAGCCGCAAGAGTTGGTGATGTACTGCGACGAGTGAGGGAAGACATTACATTCCCACTTCAATCTCATTGAACCGGAATGCACACAGCTCATAGTGTCGATACCCCATGATCCCATTTCAGGTGCAAGGGAATCAGCGATCAAGGTCAGTAGTACCCCTTTCTTGGTTCCAGGGTGATGCTGATTCCTAGAAGTGTGAGAACGCACATGCGAATAGATTCATAAGCCAATTGCCTACCGGCACAAAGTCGACCCGTCTGCAGTCAGCACACATCATCAAGAACAGGCGCAGCACACGGACACATTGTTACAGTCGGTTTTGGACAACTGTCCGTTACCTTACTCAAGACTTCACGGGCGAAGCAGATATCGGGAAAAAGTAACAGCTTGGAGGTCAGAACCGGACTTTAACAAAAACCCCGATCGACGCTACGGCTAACCTAGTTGCGTACACTTGCATACAGATAGGTCGACACTAGGACCGCCATATTACCGCTTCCGGCACGCATTTCGGGCGTACATCCCTCCCACTGCACAGCCCTACCGGTGCAGGGATCGGACTTTTGCCAAGATGTCTGAAAACTCCGGTCGCTGACTTGGACAACCACCAGTCCATCGCACACGGCATCAGACGAAGGACGAGGACATAGCGAACAAGCCTCCCCCCAATGATCAATCCAAGACTTGCTGAGCCTTTACGGGACGCGAATACCCAACACTCTTCCAGTCACATTTCAACGGACTTGACTTCCTCTTATTAAATAAACCTCCGAGAATTGGTCTCCATCGTTTCCCCTCCATCCCACAGCCGTACCACTTACGACCAAGACAGAGTCTTTGATCGGGAAGAACAGCGTCGTTCCGGCGGAGAAGTCAGAGAATCTCCAATATCCGCTTTTCTCTTTAGGAGTATTCACAAAGGCCTTTGACGGCCCCGGGTCCGGTCACAGTCTACCCGTAACCATGTCTGCCGCTTCGTCTCCCACTCGATCGACGAAAAGTCCTTCGCCGGAGACCACCCGCGTCCCTTCTGTAGCCAAATGGGGCGCCGCCTGCGCGCCGTGTGCGACGGCAAAAGCAAAGTGTCTTCGATCCCATACGACGCCCGGGTCAAAGTGTGATAGGTACGTTTGCGAGGCACAGCATTCTTTATGCAGCCATCCCGTCCATGATCTCCTGGGTCGTTACGCTTGCATAGGGGAGCCGGGGATTCCTTAAGATCTCCGGGCCCGGGGGCGGATCTAGACATTGTTTGTTCCACGGGAATGGTGTGTGGTGTGGTGGCCACCGTGGCTCCATTGCAACCTGCCATGTCTTTGATGGCCCAATGGCGGGAGTGGGAGAAGGACCCTAGGCGGCGCTTGTTGTCATTTTTGACTAACGGTTGTGTTGTTGTTGCGTGATAGATGTGAGCGGCTCTTCAAGCATTGTTCGGTTCAGATACACAGGCCAAGGAAGAAGAGGCAAAGCAGGCCGTCGTAAGTCACACTTCTCAATCTCGGACCCGCGTTCAGTCAAGGATGCTGGATGGTTGCTGTCCAGTATGGCAAGCAACACTAAGCCCTATACAAATGGGGGTTGTGGGATACCGAAGATTCTCTGTATCACTCATTCGGACGAATCACTGAGACAAGATATCGCAGGAAAACAACACAGCTTGAAGAGCGTCTCAACCGCCTGGTCAACACCCTACGAGTATCAGGAAACGTGTCCACCCTCCCGAGTGGCCCATCCACCGGCCAGCCAGTGTTGCCTGGCCCATCAAGACACTCATACCCAATCTGCAATCCGCCAGTCTCCCTACTCTCAGGACAACCAATACCGGCGGACTTCTACTCCCAAAGCCGCGTCTCACCTTGGGACGTCGAAGACCTCTCCGACGTCAGGCCCATCAACATCCCCGAGACCTACAACTCCTTCGTGCCCCCAACATGCATATGCAAGCCCGAGCCGGGGGAAGCCCCGCCGCCTCCCGACACGGACGAGAACCTCCTCAAGATCTACCGCACCAAGCTGGCGCCGTGCTTCCCCTTCGTGCTGGTGCCGGATGACGTCTCTGCCACTACGCTCGGCGCGACGAGGCCGTTCCTGATGGCTGCTATACGCATGGTCTCGTCTTACCGAAGCATGAAATCGATGCGGGGGCAGATGTATCGTCTCTTGAACCACGTTGCTGACCACATGCTCCTGCGATCCGAGAGGTCGTTTGATTTGCTGCTTGGGTTGGTGGTTATGCTGGGCTGGTTTCATCAGCATTGCATCGCTCACGCTCAGCTTAACCAGCTTGTCTCGTTGGCTACGTGTCTTGTTGGTGAGCTGGGGCTTAAGAGGAGCCCTTGTTTGCCGGAGCGGACGAGGTTGTTGGTCATGCGTCCTTGGGAGTTGCGGGAACGTACGAATGAGGAGCGGAGGTTGCTGTTGGCGGTGTGGTATCTCAGCTCATGGTAAGCTTCAATCCCTTTTAGAGGATAGAAGAGTGGTAGAACTGACATTTAATCCACAGCATCTCAATGGACATTCACCAGATTGATTCTATGAGATATTCGGGGTACATGCAACAGTGTTTGCGAGAGCTTGAAGATGATGTAGAGTATGAGTCGGATATACATCTCGGATACATCGTTCGGATACAAAGGCTCTGCGAGAGGATCTCGGACCTGAGGTCAAAAGACTATCTCGACGAAGAAGGGGATGAGAGTACTCGGGCGCCTCTCTCAGCCTACGTCTCTGGCTTCAGAGCGGAGTGGAACAAACTCCAGACTAGCCTGCCCCCTACCTTGAAGAATAACGGTCAGTTTAGCCTCCCCCAAATCACAAGTCGAAGCGAAAAACTGACAGACTATAGCCTACCTCCAAGTAAGAATGGCCACCCTACGGCTTCGCATCCACGAACCCCCCAGAATCGACGCCGAGCTCCTGGCCTCCCTCTCCAAATCCCTCGACTCCATCAGCGCAGGCTCTACATCCGCCCTCGACGCCTTCTACCAATCCAACGCAGCCCTCAAAGCCTGGTTCGAAACCTGGCTCTCCGTGCCTCAAGAATTCTTCTACTGCATCCCCATCTCGATAGCCTCGCACATGGTTTACGCCGTTATGATGATGAGTCGCTGGTCCTGGCTTACAACAAGAGGCAAAACGCCGCCCGAGCCGCAGACAGACCCGTCGGACCCGTCAAAGGATAACCCCAATGTTGCACTGGCGGCCATGGAAGCTGCCATCAGCCCCAATACCCCCGCGTCTACGTCAACCCCGTCGGCTGAGACGAAGGGCTCCTCGCCGTGGCAGACGACGTTGCCCGATAAGGATCTGCCTCAGGTGCTGGCTGCGCTCAAGGCGCGTCTTTCTACGCAGCCTGATCTAATGCTTGATGTGGAGGGGTACCTCAACCGAATCGTGGCTCAGCTACAGACTATTGACGCATTGTACTCCGAGATGTCTGTCGACGAGGGTGAGTGGCGCGGCAACATCTGGAGCCTGGGTGCGACGAAAGTCAAGATTGCGATGCTGAGGCAGCAGAGGTGGTCCAAGGTTATTACCTCACAGGCGGAGGAGCGGGAGCTCGAGATCCAGGGCGCGGGAGGCGAGCAGCTTGGGCTTGGTGAGATTGAGATGCAGGAGAACTTCCTTGCCTCGTTGCAGATGCCCGAGTGGGATGCGAGTATGGTCTGGGATCCGCACACTTATTATGATCCCATGCCTCAGGACCCGGCGCTCTGGAGTGAGGTTGTTCCCGGGGATCAGGACTGGGGGACGATGGGGTCGCTGGGACACATGCCGGAGGGGAGATATATGTAACTTGTGTGGCTTGTAAGATAGAGATGTGAGAGTAGCTGTCTAGATTTCAACGAAGCTCATGATTTTGTCAAATTTGGCATCGTGTCAAACCAGTCAATTAAGGTGCCCAAGACAATATTGTGGATAGAGGACTCCATCGGGAGATGTATATCACAAGAGGTACATAATCTTATATTTGGCCGGAAAAATCATCTGGCGTTGTGGCAGAGTGGTCTAATGCGCAAGACTAGAAATCTTGTTCCTTCGGGAGCGTCTGTTCGAATCAGGCCAACGTCGACCTTTTGTCTTTTGTACCATCTGTCGTCCTGACTTCTCGTATTTCTATGATGGTGAAACTTTTTTGTTGTTTTCGTAGTCACCTATTGTGTCTTGCAAAGCAATTGATCTGAACTCTAAACACTGGTTGGTGGTGGTTGTCACCCCAAAACTTTCCGCTTCACAACCCATCCCTGTCACCTATCAAAAGTGGCTGCTTAAAGCTTGTCACAAATCAAACATTTCGATCGTATCTTGTCGGCGGATGACTACCTTAGAGAGTGAGTCATTCTCTCAATTCGATATTCATTAGCAAATTATGAGCGGCGAGTCGGTTCCCGAAGGCCTGAGTAGATGAAGGACGGGTCAAAGAAAGCCTTTTCATAACTCTCATCCCATTTGGAGTGTAGGGCAGATGTTCATCAAATGCGGATAAGACGGCAACTAGCTTCACACTCCCTGAGTTCCCGATGGCCGAACCAACACAACTCTTGAACAAATAACACAATTTCTTTAGTCTACTTGATTACGCGTCGAACGTCTACGGCGCAGCGGGGGCAGCTCCCGAAGAACCCTGCCAACTCTTGCCCAATAACCCACCACTGCCGCCCTTCTTCTTCTCCTCCTCTTCCATCTTTAACACCAATTCCCCAAACAATCCATTCGCCCAGCCGAACCACGCGCGCGTCCAGTCATTGTCGTTCCAGCTGTTGACGCTCTCGTGCAAAACGCCAGAGCCGGCCGTCGAATCCAGCACCATTCGCAACTGCTCCTCGACATCCTTCTCCACGTCCTTGCTGCCGGAAATGGGATCGTACGCGGTAATGGCAGCAATAACGGCCGCCATAGGCCACGCTTTGCCTGGACCGACGTGTGGCCCGCCGACAGCGGAGATGGCAGGACCCTTCATGTAGTACGAGTTCGCGTCACTGAGGACATACTTGCGCGTGTTGCGGTATACCTCGGTGTAGTCGTGCAGCTTCTCGCCCTTGGGCGGGTCGGGGTACTTGAAGTTGGAGTGCGTAAAATTCCACAGCGGCATGGCCAGGAGAGACGGCACGTTGGCGTCGTCCATCAAGTTCGCGCCGCCGTAACCGTCCACCTCGTACGCAAAGATATCGCCAAACCCGGGTCGGTGCACAATGGCATCCTTTTCGATACCCTGCCGGATCCCAAACGCCTGCGCGCGCATCTCCAACGTCAGGTTCTTGGCCTTCTCGCCATCCAGCTTGGCCATGATCTCGGACGCGGACTCGAGATACTTTGCCCACATCATGTTGGCCGGCACCAGGAACTGGAAGATACAGGCGTCATCCGAAGGCCGGAATGCCGTGCGAATCATGCCATTTTCCTTGATCGGGTTTCCCAACCCGTCGTTGGTCAAGGTCTCGCTGCCGCGATTCGTCCACCCCGTGAACGTCCACGCCGACTTTTCCACTTTGCCCTCGGGTGAGTAGGTGCCCAGCCGCATCGCGCCCGCGGCGTTGACGGCGGCCTCGACGGCGTCTATCCAGTGGTGCTTGTTAAAATGCTGCCAGTCGCCCGTCTTCTCCGCGTACGAGACGGACATTTTCAGAAACGACGCCAGTGAGTCGAGTTCCCACTTGCAGTCGAACACTTTTTCCGGGTCGTACGCCGGCATGGGGTGGTTGTGCACGTAGGCGCCGTTGTGCGTTGGCGGGATGCCGCTCTCGGGCGGCGGCTGGAAGCTGTGGCAGTACGGCGAGATGATGATGTAGCGCGAGTGAGCGTTGATGAGGCCGCGCCAGAGGCTGGCAAGGGAGTTTGGATCCCGCGAAGCCTCAAGGAGAGGCAGGTAAGGGCTGATTTGCTCAGCAGAGTCGCGCAGCCAGAGGGCGTCAATGTCGCCGGTGATGACATAGGTGAGCTCCTGGTCCGTCGCCTTAGACACGCCCGTGGCCTTGTCCGTCTCGTTGGCGTACCCCCTCCACTTCACCATGCTGTCGAGCGTCATGGGATACGCATTCTCAAAGAGGCGGTACAGGTCCGGGTCCTTGATGACGCCCTTCATGCGGATGATGAGGTTGTCCATGGCGGGGAGGCGGAATGTGCGACATTCCGGCCGGGGCCGGTTGAGCGGGAATTTGCGTTTGCCCTCGGACAACGGGCCGGGCTTCGAGCGCATCCAGTTCTCAAAAGACTCGCAGTCCGCTGCGGGCGGCGGTGTCGGTGGCATCGGCGACGACGCGGGAGCGCTGGGTTTCGGATCACCGGGTCGGCCGGTGTCCGTAGGCGGCTGCTTGGCCAGCTCCTCGTCCTTGTTGCGATACGAGTCCTGCCCCTCGGCGTCGGCCTTGAGCTTGTCTGCGGCGGTATCAGGTTCGCCGTGTGCTACCGGTAGTTCCTTGTCCTTGTCCTGGTTTCCGAGGGGTTGCTTGCCGGCATCACCGCCGGTGGTAGTGGTAGTTTTGCCATTGCTCACGCCGGCTGCTGCTGATCGCGCTGAGTCCAGGTAGCTGCCGCCGCCTGCGAGGCCAGAGTTGTTGAGGAAGAGCACAAAGATGATGACGAGAAGGGCAATGAATACGACGCGCGCGCGACGTGTCTGTATGCCGCCGCTCAGGACGGTGAAGGCTGGCATGGCTGCGTCGTGTCTGTGGCGTCACCCCCTTGGGCGCGTTGTCCGTTTCAGTGAGATTGCCTTCAACGAGTGTTCGTTCCTGTGAGATGAGTCCCCCGAATGGTGTATCTTTCTCCCTTTCAATGCCGATAATGAGAGTGTGGCGTTTTTGAGTGTTCACTCAGCTCATCCAGCCCATGACAACATGCAAATATTGGGACCCTCACTTCAACTAGACATCGTGTGCTGTGTCTTGAAAGGGCGAAGAACTCAAGAGGAGTTGACGAGTTGACTTGCTTCAGGCGACGGTGTCGATTCCCGCTCTAAAAGGTTTAGAAAGTAAGGGGGTCACCCTCGCTCGGCATCCCACTATAATTGGATTTTAGTTCCAGGGCGCCGTCTCGGTCGGTTCCAAGCAATTTCGGGTCGCTCGTGTTGCAGGATGATCCTTGACTAGTTCGGTCCTCAACTCTGATCAAACTTCTTGCGGGGGGTTGTCTCAGAGGAGGGGGCGTATTAAGGGACCACACGGGAAAAAGAGCCTTTTCATTGATCATTGAATGATCCCCTTCCCCTACAGGTACGAACGATACGAATAATCTGTCTGCTTTCATCCTGCTCATGGGATTGGCCGCCGCCATGAAGTATTGCTTACAACCTAGTTCATCTTCGGGTCAACTTGCGCAACCACATCTCTTCATCTGAACGCGGGGAAGTAACTAATCCAATCACGGACAGCTGGCTCCGAATTGTGAACGAACCACGCGACCCTCGGGTTGCACCGCACTATCGAATGGTTGCAGCGTTGTGTGGCTGGCCGCCACGCGAACAGTGGCTTCATGCAAAAACGTGCAACAACATGCCGAGGAGCAAAAGGTTTGTTGCGATATCTCGACGTTGGCCTGATTCGAACAGACGCTCCCGAAGGAACAAGATTTCTAGTCTTGCGCATTAGACCACTCTGCCACAACGCCGAAGTTGTCGTGAACCCGCAATGAAGCGGGGATGCTGAGGAACGGGCTTTGCTGCCACTAGACCTCTCACGACAGCCTCAACTTTTTTTTTGACGAATTCTTGCGAGATCGCCATGCGAACATGTAAGAGTAATTGGGGTTGGCAAAACACGCATCTCCAGCTTAGGTTACCGGTGGGATTCATGCCCTCCCAACTCAACGCGTTCGCCCAATCCTGAAACCTTGCGACTCATTGACGCAAACTTTGATAACTGGGACTGCTCGTAGTATACGCACGACTGAGGAGACAGCAGTCTATGTACAAGACAGATTACAGATACAATGCTCGCCAAAAGACCACTATAACTTGTACAACCTCGGCTCCGTCCCCTCCTCCGTCGCCCGCCGTACAATCCCCCGATTTTTGACCCCGTAGTACACCCTCAGCGCCGCACACCCAACCACGACAACGAAAAGCAGCGCCGCGTTAGCCCAGTGGCCGGTCGGGTACCCCCGGGCCTTCTCCTCGGCCTTGTAGACCCATACGCCTGGGATCTGCCCGAGTCCGGCGCCGATGCTGACGTTGAGCGCGATGGCGAGCCCCGTCGCCGCCGTGCTGAAGATGTTGGACGTCAGCCAGCCCAGCAGTGGCGGGATGCACGCAAAGGCGCCCGAGGCGCCGACGATGAGACAGCCGTAGCGCGCGTTGTAGGCGTCGGGCGGGAGGACGGCCGAGACCGCGAAGGCGACGCCGCCGATGAGGGCTAGGGCTGCGGAGTGGACGCCGCGGGCGTTGAAGTGGTCTGCGGACCATGCTACGAGGATTTGGACGACTGATGTCTCACGCGTTAGCCTCTGGGGGGTATATGTCGGTTGAGGGTATAAAGGGAGTAAGTTCTCGGCCTGGACGTACCGTATGCTGCAGCGTAGGGGGGAACCGTCATCAGCTGGGCTTGCAGATCGACGAACCCGAGTCCTGAGGTAATGGACGGTGTAAACAGCGATAGCGATGAGAACGGCGTCGACATGGCAAAGTACACCAGGTAGTGTCCATATAACCTCCAGTCCGTCAGCGTCGCCTTCGCTTCCTCCCAAGACATAGTCTTGTGGCTGCTCTTGCTGCCCTCATGGTAGAGTCTCCGCAGCGCGAGATCCTTTTCGCGTTCTGAAAGCCAGGTGGCGCTCTCAGGATAATCAGGTAAGAAGAACCA